TTCTGCGCTCACAGCAGGGCATAGGGCTGTACACTGGCCAGACCAGCACTAGGAAGGAGCCACCTCCACAGCCCAGCAGGTGGAACCCAGCATGGGAGGGCAGAGCAGGGTGGGAAGGCTCAGTGCTGCTACCGTCACCACCACCAGGAGTGCCATGCTGTCATGGCTGCCAAAATAAGACACTCCCTGCCTGCCCAGCACCAGCAGGAGGGCACAACTCCATTCTGCTGCTACCACAGTGCCTCACCTTGTAGGCCATGGCAGCACAGCTAGCACAGGACTTCCAGCAGCAGTGTGGTGTTGTGCCCCCCACACTGGCAGGGGGTGCCTCACATTGGTAGCCATGGTGGCACAGTGCTCCCCGCTTCTCTGGGTCCTGCCCACTGGGCCACAGAGGCAGCTCCTGTCTGGTGCCAATCTGGCCATGCTGCAGCCCTGTGCCCCACTATGGGTGCTGAAATCTGTGGGGGGTATGTGCCCCTCTATACTCCACAACATATCGCCTTTGCCCACACACACCCTGCCCCTCCCGCCACCCAACACACCTACTCTCTGCCCCACACACTGGGAGCAGAAGGCATCAGGTCAGGAGTGAGGGGCACCAGCAGGGCCAGGGCACTGTAGGTAGGAGTGAAGCCACAACCCTCCCCTCCTCCCACCCCCACCAGAGCAGACCTGGGGGAGGGCGAGGGCTGCAGGCTGGAAGTGAGGGCCAACAGCAGGGGCAGGGGCAGGGCACTGGCATTTCAGGGCTGCTCAGTGTCACAAAGCAGCAGCAGAGCAAAGCCATAGCTGGACCCACTTCCTGGTGAGCGAAGCGGGCAGGGGGAGCTTTGATTTTCCATGATACAAAAATACCAAAATGAATACTAAAATATATAGGCATTTAGAATTTGTTTTATTATAATAGAGGCACTGGTAGGCTTCTACATAGCTTTAAAATTGTAAGTATATCAAGAAAACTGTGTGCTTAAATGACAGACAGACAGACAGACAGACAGAGGTGTTTCACTTTAATTGATGAAAAACAGAGATTCAAGGTTTTTAAATCAGAGTATTTTGGATTTTTATCAGAGAACTTTGATTTTTTTTCTTTTTACAGAGAAAACCAGGATCCCTGGGGATTATTGATCAAAAAAGTGCACACAACTGCAAATATAAAAGAGACCAACTGCAAGCAGGGGCCATGTTCTGACAATCTTGTTCTTAAATATCTATGCTTCATGAGAAGACTGAAGAGTTGATTTAACATTCATTTAATTTCATTTTCTAGTGATTGTATTATTCCAAGAATATTGCTCAGACCACAAAACCTCTCCATTTAATGAATTAACTATGATAAAAACAATCTCAGCACAACATACATCCTTCATGATACTCACTCAAAAGATGAATAGAGAGTTTATTATCAATGTCAAATACAAAAAAGTTAAAACTAAGTTGATCCAAACAACCCAGCTTTTGAGTCTTAGAGTGGCTAACACGTAATGAAAACTTTTATAAAACCTACTTTGTTTCTCTTTATGTTACTCATAATTATAAACATATCTGCATGAAAATGAGGTTTCTTTACAGCTCACTTATTCCTATTGTTTTGTCTCACCTCAAGTTGTAAGTCCATTTTGACTTTAAAAATGTATTTCTCTGAATCTAACTGATATATCTATATTACCCATTGAAGGGTTATGATTTCTGTCATGGAATAAAACCTCAAGAGTCCAAAACAAGAGGTATTCTATTTTTTTTGTAAATACGTTCTTAGTATTAAAGAATGACAGAAGAAAGATGCCAAAGACATACAAAATAATAAAGAGTGTTTTTGTTTAATGAGGCATTGCCACCTTTCTCACTGTAATATTTCATTCATTTTAACCCTAATGTAATTACTGTGGAAGAGATATTATTTAGATGTTAAAGAGGTTGTATTCCATAGTTTAAATTATCTTACCCTCCACAAAGAATTTAATGGAATACACTTGCATTTTCCAATTTCTCTAATTTTTTCCTATAAGGCAGTAAATATTGCTACTGTTCCAAGGGGCCCAGCTGTGGAAACTGCAAAACAAATGCATGGAATGAGCAAGATCTAGGAAATTCAGTCAGAAGACATGTATGCCACAAGAGCCAGCTTCCTGAAAGCTCCCTGCATGAAGACATTTAGCATTAATATGAGATCATACCAGAAGACTCGCTATGCATTCCTCCTGGGTATAGGATGCACAGACACCATGGAGACTATTCTGCCTCTAAGACTGGATTAATGGCCATCATGCAGTTCTGTTGCAACTCTACAGCTTGACATAATAGAAGATTCCTTTTCTTTTAACCCCAAAGGAACAATTCAGCTTCCAACCCAACTGGAGATGTACAGTAATCACACAAAAAAAAAAAAAAAACAAAAAACAAAAAACAAAAAACACACTTTAGTGCTATTTAAAAAAAATGAAGTGGGTACTAAGAAAACAGGGTTCCAGGAAATTGCTTGAATACTGAAAGAAATCACTTCCCAGGGCTTTTGTGAAATACTACTTAGTTACTGGATAAGTAAGAATCAGCTG